TCTATAATTCTTCCTTAGTCATTGCAATTCTTGGAAAACTCGTAATTTTCGTAATTCCCGTAACTTTTTCATAAATCCCGTAACTTACCAAAAATTATCGTAATTTTTTCGCAATTCTCGTGATTTTTCCTTATCTCTTCCAATGTTTATATTTCCTGTAGTTCCTCAAATTTTCGTAATTTTGTAATTCCCGTAATTTCTCAAAAAAACTCCGTTATCTTTATAATTCCCCCCCAGTTTGTTGTGATTCTCAAAAATTGGTAATTCCCATATTTTTTTTTTCTTGGAATTTTCGAAAATTCTTAAATTCCCGTCATTTTTCAAAAAATTCTCGTTAATTGACCTTTTCAATTTAGAAGCCTCTCTCTCTGGCGTCAAACTGTCAGACGCCAAAAGAGTATGAAAACAATGGTTGACAGCCGTTGACAGTGGTTTGTAGACAAGATTTTTGAAAGAAACTATTATTTCCTCGGGTGTTTCAAGGTTTTTTCTTAACAGTGGTGATTGTATGTAGTGTGCCTATCCATAAATCTAATTCCTATTTATTCCTATTCACCGGCGGACGTGTTTTTCCATAAGTTTCCATCAAATCCTACATTTGTCAAAACTTGGATACACAAAATCAGAATCCGGAAAAGATACTCGCAAAAGAAAGGGAAATCCACAGCCCATCAAATATACAAAGTAATCCACGTTCAAGTTTAGTTTGCAGAAGCTGTTTGCTTCCAAAATAATCCACTACCGGCTCCATAGCGAAGTTATGCGAATGAAGCAGTGACTTTTCCTACATTTTCTTCCCAATTTCAAACTCTGCGTTTTTATCAAATTTTACCGATGGATCCATCATTCTATGTCGGTCATTGTCATTTTCCATTCACTTAACAAAGATAGCTAACTCATTAGTTGTATCCCTTTCACACCTAGGACAAGCTCCGGAACAGCTCCGGGGCTTCACGCGCTTATTCCTTTCGAAAAGTGTTTGTTGCACTACGCATATGTTCCCTGCAAATCGGGGGCGACTGAGCACCGAAGCCAGTAGCTCGAGGGTTTCAAGCTCTTGAAAGGAATACAACTATTGGTGAAGTCACCGATTCAAATAAAAATGAGGGGATTGCTAAACACTCAATACACATTGACATTGACAAGCAAGCAAATTTTGGCGGGAAAATGAATGTTTTCATACTTATCGTCCATCTCTTTTAATTGAAAACGTCAATTTCATAATTCCCCCTTAGTTTTTGCAATTTTCGGAAAATTCGTGAATCCTGTAACTTTTTGTAATTCTTGTTATTTTCGTAATTTTTTGAAAATTGTCACAATTTTTTTAATTCTCGTAATTTTTTCGTATTTTTCATAATTTTTGAATACCTAATTCCTGTAGTTTTCAGATTTCCGTAATTTTTTAATTCCTGTAATTTCTCAGAAAACTCCGTTATTTTCATAATTTTGAAATTATATAAGTCTCGTAATTTTCGTATTTTATTTTGGGAATTTTCGAAATCTTGTAATTCCTGTCATTTCTCAGATAATTCTCGTTATTTTCCTAATACCCCCTTAGTTTTTACAATTTTCGAAAAACTCGAAATTTTCGTAATTTCCATTACATATTTTCGTAATTTTCGTAATTTCTCAAAAAAATTTCGTTAGTTTTATAATTTTCTTTAAGTTTTTGAAATTTTCGAAAATTGGTAATTTCCGTATTTTTTTTTTGGGATTTTCGAAATTTTTTAATTCGTGTCATTTCTGAGATAATTCTTGTTATTTTCTAATTCCCCGTTATTTTTTTCAATTTTTGGAAAACTTGGTAATTTTCGTTATTCCCGCAATTTTTCGCGCTTTTTCCAGTAATTATTTTAATTTTCAATTTTCCTAATTTCCAAAAAAATTCGGAATTTTCTAATTCTCCCTAAGTTATTGTAATTTTCGTAATTTCAAAAAATTGTGATTTCCGTTATTTTGGGAATTACCGTAATTCACGTAATTTTGAAATGACTTTGTAATTCTTTTCCGTAATATTTCGTATTACCCGTAATTTTTGTAATTTTCGTAGTTTTTTGTATTTTTCTCAATTCTCGTAATTTTCATAATTTCTCATAATTCCCGCAAATTTTCGTCATTTCCGTCATTTTACTAGGTTCCGTAAATTTTTAAAATTCCCATTATTTTTCGTAATTCCCGTAATTTGTCTTGTTAGTTTTCGTAACTTTTCAAAAATTAGTAATATTTAAATAATTGACGTAATTTTGGAGTGACTTCGTAATTCTTTTGCGTAATATTTGGCAATTCCCATAATTTTTGTAATTTCCGCAATTTTTTGTTATTCCGTGATTCTCGTAATGTTCCGTGATTCTCGTAAATGTTTGCAACTCTCTCTAATTTTTCATATTTTACGTACTTTAGCGTAATTCCCGTAATTTTTCGTAACTTTTCAAAAATTATCGTTATTTTCGTAATTTTGAAATGAGGAAAAATGAGGATAAAATCGTGGAAAGTGATGATAAAATCACAAAAAAAAGAGTCAAAAATCGCAAGAAAAATATGAGTCAAAAATTTCAAAAAGAGTGAATTTAAACTCGCGGAAAAGTAAGATGAGACTCACGGAAAAATGAGGATAAAGTCACGAAAAGTAAGGATAAAATCGCGGAGAATGAAATATGAATCGCGGAAAAGTGAGGATAACATCGCAAAAAAAAAGTGAGACAAGAATCGCGGAAAAATGAGATTATATTTACAGAAAAGTCGATTTACAATGGTGAAAAAGTGGATTTAGAATTGCGGTAAGTGATGGTAAAATTGCAAAAAAATGAGTCAAAAATAAAAAAAAAAATATTTTTCAAAAATCACAAAAAAAGTGAGGTCAAATTAGCGGAAAAGTAAAGATAAAATCGCGGAAAGTAGGGGAACAATCGCGGGAAAATGAGGATGAAATAGCAGAAAAATAAGTTTGTAATCGCCGAGGAGTGAGAGCCAAAAATCGCAAAAAAGTGAAAACAAAATTGCAAAAAAGTAGGTCAAAAATCACAAAAAAAATTAGTCAAAAATTTCAAAAAAAGTGAGTGTGAATTTGTGAAAAAGTGAGATAAGAATCGCGAAAAAATGAGGTAATATTTGCGGAAAAGTGGGTTTACAATCGCGGAAAAGTGATAGTAAAATCTAAGATTTCTAAATTATGACATCATCAAATTGGATTTTTCAATGAATAATAAATTGGAAGCATCTTTCCTACATAAAATTATTGAATTTGACATTTATCAAAAAATCCAAACAACCAGCACCTTGTTTTACAGGTAATGAAATGCCTTGTCAGTTTCTTGAAAGTATGTCGTGGTCAGTAATTATTTTTGCTAGAAATGCAACAAAATACAGAAGAAAGAGAAGATTGCATCGATCCCTTGAAAAATATAGATGAGGCGGCCAATCGGGCTACCTCAGTTGTTCCAATTTTACCATTAATATCAATGTAAATAACTAAAAATACAAACATTTTTGACGTTCGCTCTCAAAATTTGATGTTTCATTTTTAACATTAGTGCTATAAAGACTTTATGGCACTAGTGCGATAAAGTAACATTTTTAATGCTACGGGGGGGTGTTAAAAATTGCATTTTTGACACGTTTGTAGAAAAAGTTCTTTTTTTTAAAGATAAAAGTCAAAATGACATTAAGTTGGCAATGCAATGTAAAATTGTCAATGCTTTCAAATTTTTTATGTAGAAAAGGCTTGTGTTGCCAACATAGTTATTGAATTTTTAACTTGGGGAATTATTTAAAAAATAAAAACATACTTTAACTTTCCCCAGAAAAGTGTGCAAAATTTGAAAATAGGCATGCGAAATTGTGCAAATTTAGGTGAATAGGAATTTTTCAAGTTTTAGACAAACAAGGGGGAACGGTCAAGTTTGCCCCTAGTTTAAAAAAATGCTCTAGTTTTCGTTGTGTTGTGTGCAAAATTATTATGGTTTAGGTATTTATTTTTGAAATTTGTTTAATACAGGCGGAAACTTGATCGACCCCAAAATTTACTTGTTGGTAAATAAACCGATCTACTGGAAAATAAATAAATAATTCATAATTCGAAATTAAACATAAATTTCTAAGTGGCAAATTTGCCAAATATACTGAAAAAAAAACCTAAAGAAAATGATAGAATAGCATCCATCTATGATATTCGTTGGTAAATTATCAAATATGTTAGAAAATATATGCTTAACTTCCTAATTCCTTTTGGCACGCGTCTGCCTCCCTATGCACGCAAAGCAAATATTTCACTTTAATAACTTCATTCAGAGAAGCAGACACGGATGCTGGCTCGCTGGCTGGACGCTGAATCAACAGCATTGACAACTTGGCAACAGTGGGCAATAGACTCGAGCCAGCGTCCACACCGGCAAAAGCCGGCGTCCATCGAGGTATCAAAAATCAGAATACGGACGAGACTTCTAGAGACGTTAGTCTATAATATTCTTTGCTTAAACCCGCTGAATCGATTGGAAAAGTCAAAATTTCGAAAATATGAAAAATAAAAATCTCGAGTTTTCGATTGGTTTGACTGAAACCCCCCATAAGCAACGCCACTGGCCAAGCAAAATACATGTTGTCGACTTGAAAAAACTCCGGCCAATAGCAACAAGAGCCTGGAATAAACAGAAATTGAAATATAAAAAGAGAAATATACATAAATATATCAAAAGAACAAATACAAATTTATATAAAAATTGAAGGACCTCACATACCACTTATGGGTATTTGGTTTTCTGTCAAGCAAATGAAATTTGTATGCCATTGTTAAAAATATTCAAAATTGATGAAATTTCAAAATCACCAGAAAATTGCCATTTTTTGAAAAGTTTTTCACCAATCAGCAGATTTTTCATAAAATAACCAGACCTGACATCACTGACATGCAAATAGGCACCTCAGATGACGTCATCAAGTTTCCCCTTTACCAGACAACCTATTACCAATCTGTAAGATTAAGTCACAATTCATTTGAATTTTTTTTAGGTATGTTTCTTTGGACGAGTATCCTTATCACTTGTGGCCTCCTTATTCATCAGGTGGGGCTTACATTTTATCAAACGCAGCCCTAAAAGACATGTATTATGCGAGCTTTTATACAAAGCATTTCAGATTTGATGATATTTATGTGGGGATTTTGGCATACAAAACCAAAATCGAACCACTGCATTGTGAAGAGTTTTACTTTCACAAAAAACCTTATTATAAGTTTAACTATGAGTATGTGATAGCGTCGCACGGTTATGAGGATCCCAAGGAGCTGGTCAATGTTTGGAATGAACAAAAAAGCTTGGGAAATGCCTAAATTTACTTTTATTATTGTTAAAAAAAAAATATTAATTGTTTTACTGAGTGGTTTTATTTTATCACACCATACTACCAATCACCCGTATTATAATTTCCATTAATTTCTTCATGCTTGGCTATAGTATTTTCGAATTTATTTGCCTCATGTTGGGCTACTTTAAGTAAAGTTTGGCTACTTTCAACAATCTTTTTGAATCCCAATTCAGTTTCACGTATAGTCTTGTCATAGTTTTCGCATAGTTGTTTGTGCTGTTGCAAATTGCCATTCAAATGTGCGATTTTCTCTTGCAAAGCTTTCATGTTTCTGTCTAAAGTTGCCTTTTCCTCCTCCTCTTGCTTAATAACTTCCAGTAATTCCTTTCTTTTGGTTTTAAATTCTTCCAAACCTTTGAAAGTTACAGGTTATGATTTTGTGAATATAGTTATTTTTCTCGCTTACATTTTATCAGTTCTTGGTTGTAGGTTTGCAGAGCTGCACCGTGTTCGGTCATTGCACGGGAGTTGATATTAGTAATTATGCAAAACTAATTCCAATACGAAAAAAATACATTTTAAATTCAAAAGTTTCTTTACTGATGTTAACCAACGATCTTCCAACTAATCGATTGAAGAACTGTCACTGACGTCACTGTCAGACAATTGCGTTCGAGAACCTGAGCTGGGTTCGGCTATTCAGCGCTGAGTTGGAGTGGAGTGAACAGAGCTAATGGAGTCACCCCTAATACGGTAAAAAGCAATACCTGAATGGCTGGAGTGCGAATGGAGTCACTCGGAGTGCACGGAGTAAGCAAGCCGAACCCACCTCTGGTTGTTGGGATGGTTTTTTCAAGGAATGGGTATTCGACACACTTCGGTGTGCGTATCTTGCTCTAGGTATTCGAACAGTGATCGAGTGGTTTACTTAACAAGTAACCAAAGCTGTTTTCTCGCGGTGGAACTGGTTCAATTAGGTTCGAACCTATACATACTTGCGTTGAACCAGTGACGTCACATTGAACCTGGTTCAACAAATTTCGAACCGAACTCATGACTTGTTCTCCGCTGACATAAGACTGTGGTGCAAACCTTCCATTTTCTCGCGTTTACAAGTGATGACGTCATCTACAAATTGGTTCGAACCATTCGCCCTGTGAGAAAAAGCTTCAAGTTTGTCTAAAGTTAGCCAATGGCCTTCCGCATCGTTTTCCACAATATTGTATCGACCTTTTACTAAAGACACAGACCAGTGATTTTTATCCACACTCTGTCTTTTCAAACGGCAGGAGTGCGTTAAGAAATGGAGTGTGAAGGTTAAATGTTTGTCAGAATGTTCTGACGTCATCACTTGGAGTGCGCTATTTCTAAACGTATTGAGGCGTTGCGTTGCTCTTTTTGCAGACATAAATGGAGCGTAAACTACTTTTGACATAGAATAGCGTTACGGTAAGACATCCGGTAAGTTCCGTTAGATAGCGGGTTCCGCTAACGCTAATACCATATTTGAAATTTGGGCGGCACGAGAACTCTCTATTGTCAATCATGAATCACGTCAAACGGTAAAAACTGCGGGGCATTTTTCAACCCAGTTCCCGAACTCTCGATTTCTGAACGACTCTAGCGTAACGCTCCGAGTAAGCACCTGTTAATTTATGAACAGTTTATAATTACTCTAGGGTCACTCTCACACCCAGAGTGCTATTTCTAAACGCAGCCTAAGCCGCTTTTCAGTATGCACATTGGCGCGCTCCAGAGCACCTCGGGGGCGCCACGCACTAGATGTGTACCGTTCCAGTATCATGGCGTGAGACGCCTGTCTTAGTGTCAAATATGTCAAATTTAAAAAATAATTATCTGTTTTATACGACACACCAGGTTTTCGAACGCAACCTAGCACTATCGATAAATTATACTTCCACAGCTTAAGAACAAATTATCGATAATATTCAATGTGATTCAATATCGATAGATCTCGAACTTGTATTGTACAACTTTTATTCTCTATTGATAGTTCTCGAACATGTAATAGACCAATTGTATTCTTTTCACACTTAGGAAAAGCTCCAGGGCATTACGCGCTTATTCCTTTCGCAAAGTGTTTGTTGCACCTGAAGTGCTCTAGCTCGAATCAAACCATTTAAATGCACGAAAGCCAGCGCATCTGTTCCATTCAAATCGGGGTCGACTAACACCGGAGCGAGTAGCTCTAGTGTTTTAAACTCTTGAAAGGAATACAACTAATAGGTGGGTTCGGCTTGCTCACTCCGTGCACTCCAAGTGACTCCATTCGCACTCCAGCCGTTCGGATATTACTTTTTATCGAATTAGGGATGACTCCATTAGCTCTGTTCACTCCACTCCAACTCCGCGCTGAATAGCCGAACCCAGATACTATAATCATTGGACTAATGACCGTCTACTCTCTGACTTTCGACTCTAGACTTGTCTTTTCTTCTTGATTATTGGTCCGACTATGAATTCGGATGATTTCGATACGCTGACCTAAATTCGGCCCCCGCTATTTCTAAGAAATATAAACTTTTGCAAATAAAGCCATACAAAACAGCGTCTGTTTGGAATTTATACTTAAATTTTTAAAACCGTTGAAACTAGTTCGGATCCAATCCGATCCGAAACTGATTCCAGTTGCACTGCGAACAAAGAACTATGAACTGCACATAATAGTTTCAAATCAGAACTAATAAATGTGTTCAAGGATTACACTCCGAACCAATTTTTTTAGGATTTCATTCAACTCTGAAAAAGTCTAGAACTGGAAACTTTTGGAATTAATCTGGATTTGATTCTAGTTGTAGTGCGGACAAAGAACTATGAACTGCTAATGAAAATAGTTTCAAATTAGAACTAATAAATAATATATTCGTGAAAACACACTCTGAGCCAGTTTCGAAGGATTTATTCTACTCCGAACGTCGAAGAAAAGTTTGAAATTATTCCGGAATCCATTCAGAGCTGTTTTCGGATGCCACCCTTTGAGCGCTCCCGAGTTACTCCGGCTACAATTTGACCTGTTCGGTTTCAAACGTTCTAGTGCAAAACGCATAGAATTGGTGTGAAGTGTTCTAGGAGCTTCGCACTCTGCACCCGAAACGGCTCCATATGTACAGCAAAGAAATAACTGTAAAGGGTCATTTAAATCCACTTAACGCACGGAAAATTAATAAAGAAAAGTTGAAAATCATGTACTAAAATTATGTAGTTGTTTACATCCACTTAAAAATGAGGAAAATTGTTACCACGAAAAAGTTGGGCCAACTTCAACTTCAGGAAATCCGTGCGTTTAAATTCTGAGTCGCTTTCCAGTAACGCACCTGCACTCAACTGCTCTAGAGCGCCATGTTCCAGTGCATTAGAGTTTCGCGCAACTGAACTGTTCGTTTCTACTCTCCTTTATCCTCCAAGCACCAGTAATTCTATGGGTGCATCAAAAACACGACGCTCAAAGTCAAAGAAGGAGTGCTTATCAGCCTCGTTTATGGTAATCGCCGCCATGGTGTGTTACCATTTCCGACGTCATAACTGTTAAGTGGATATAAATCACTTTTTTAAGCTGCACATGCGAATAGTTCCGAATCAGAACTAATAATGTGTTCATAGATCGCACTAGATATTATTTAATTCAAACGAGTTCAGAACAGGAAGCTAAACCTTAGAACTCTTAACTAACCACCAAATTGCAAATAAAACCGCAACAGCGCATGTTTCGAATTTATATAAGGTGGGTTCAGCTTGCTGACTCTGTGCACTCCGAGTGACTCCATTCGCACTCCAGCCGTTCGGGTTAAGGTTCGGGTATTGCTTTTTACCGTATTAGGGGTGACTCCATTAGCTCTGTTCACTCCACTCCAACTCCGCGCTGAATAGCCGAATCCAGCTAAAGGTAAACTGTAAGAGCCGGTAGAACTAGTTCAGAATCAATCCGGAATCGATTCCAGTTGCACCGAGAACAAAGCATTATGCGAATATTTTAGTTCCGAATACACTCCGAACCAATTTTTAAAGATTTTATTCAACTCTAAAAGAGTTTAGAACTGGAAACATTCGGAATTAATTCGGAACTAATTCCAGTTGCATTGCGAACAAAGAACTATGAACTACTCCAAGCGATTTCAGAGGAAAAGTTTGAAATTAATCAATTCTAGATCTACAGTCCTACTTTTATAATCTGATACCCCAAAGAAATGCAAACGAGTTCAGAACAGAAAACTAAAACTTGGAACTCTTTATCAACCATCAAAATGCAAATAAAATCGCTCAAAATAGTGAATGTTTTGAATTTATAGTTAAACTTTAAGAACGAGTAGAACTAGTTCAGAATCGATCCAGAACCGATCCTAATTGCACCGAGAACAAAGAACTATAAACTGCACTGACGAATAATTCCGAGTGACACCACTAACAGCAGCTTATAGTGATGACGTCACCCGTAGACCTTGATGAAATGCTTACGATTCAGGCTGTGCTAGTGAGTTAATTTTTTCTTCGATTTTAAATGTAGAAAAGGTGATTTTCGGTTTGTTATCAAAGAAGAAATTAAGGGTTCCTAATCCTCGAGTATCCCAGAATTTGATGGTAGAAAAGTTAGGGAAGTATGACACAATTGACACATCACATAATCGAGCATACTCGAGTATGCTTGGTTATCATCGCGAAAAATTGTCTAATTAATTTATTTACTATTACAGTAATCTGATTTGAAAAATAATTATGGTTTTTTAGTAACTCTACTATGACCAATTGCACTGACTCTTTTTGATCTGTTCAACTGTCCGAACTACTTTGACTGTGTTTAATTCTGTTCCATCTGCACTAACTTACTCTAAGCATTCCATCTGCATTTATTCTATTTGAATTGCTTCTATGGTTCAAGTTATTAAATGGATTACATTCCGAACTGATTTGCGAAGTTAGATTTTATTCTACTCCGAACGAATTTAGAACTGAAAAAATACGAATTAATCCGGAACTAGTTGCACTGCGAACAAAGAACTGTATAAAAAGTGCACCTGTGAATCAGAACTAATAGATATGTTCTTGAATATCATACTTTTGGAACTACATTAGGATTGCTCTAAAACGCCTCCAGATATTAGCTCTGTTCCAATCGACATGAAAACCGTTCCAGAACCAGTAATTTCCAGTCGCCCACCTATTTCTCAATAAGTTGAACCTTTATCCTAATTGACCAATAAACTAACCGTTCTAGAGCGGTTATATTATATATATATTTATATATTATTATGTTTCTCAATATGTTGAACGTTTATCTTACTTGACAAATGAATTCAGTAGTTCTAGAACAGTTCTTATGTCGGTTCGAACAGAGCTATTATTATGAACCATTTCTAGTAGAACTAGTTCAGAATCGATTCTAGAACTGAGAACAGATAACTATATAATTGAAATTCAAAATTCGAACTGCGTATATGCATAGATCCAGATTAACTTGGATCTCACATAAATAGAATTCTATTTAAGAGTATCGAAGTTGCTGCCAACCTAAAGAAAGAAAAAATCGGACGACAAAGCATCAATTGTCACAAGCATTTTACGTCACGCTATCGTCATTCATCATTCATCTTTTGCTTTTGAAACTCACTCTGGGGTAAGGCTTTTTAGCACTTAAAATGGCGCGTTAAATTTGAATGTTTTCTTCGGCTTTTGGCTTTAGATTGTTGCTCCAGGCATTTTGCTCATTTGATTTGCTGCACTAAGTTGCTCCAAACACTCTAGAGCAAGGTAACAATAATTTTATACTTTATAAGCATTAAAAAGAAATTTTTTTTTCCAAGTACTATTAAACTCTAGAACAGTTTCGAGGTATGTTTTTGGTGCTCTTGGGCACTTTTGAATATTTTTGATTCTGAGTTCAGAGCATTTTTCAAACTTGAAACAATGAAAACAGTTCTAGAACAATCTGGTGTAGGTACAGTTGAAAACGATTTTGGAACTGTTTATAAAAAGATAATTTTACGTTCAGAACTGTTCTGAGCCGATTAATTAACATTCCCAGAACAGTTTCAAATCTACTTTTAGTGCGCGCAGTTTACTCTAGAACCATTATAGAACAATCCAGAATAAATTCTAAAACAAGTTTTGTGTTCTAAAATAATTCAAGAACTATCAAAAATGTGTTCTAGAATAGGAAAAGTAATGGAAAAATTCCAGAACAATCCGAAAATGGAGATTTTTGAGACAAAATGTGACTGTTCTAGAATAAATGGTATGTTTTTAAAGCTGTTCTTTTTTCGGATTTATGGGATAAAATGCGAATGTTCTAGAACAATTTGGAGGAGATGCAGTTAAAAATATTATGTAACTTTTCTAGAAGAGAAAAATTTTGTGTTCGGAGCTGTTCTAGGACAATTTAAATCATTCCCAGAACAGTTAGTTCTATATCCACTTTCAGTTCAGTGCAATTTACTCTAGAACCTAAATTCTAACTTAAAATAAGTTACTCGCTGTTCTAGAGTGGGTTTGTAAGAGTACTCAAAAAAACGGTGGAAAATAAATAATATTTTTTCTTACATAAAAACCTTGCTCCAGAGTGAGTTTTTAAAATTGTTCGAAACAATTTAGAGCAGCAAATCAAATTCTTTTTGGATCATCTTTAAGGCCAAACGCCGAAGAAAACACTCAAATTAAACACTTTAAGAAGGGTGCCCCAGAGTAAGCTACAAATAAAAAACTCGCCTCGAAACTGTTCTAGAGTGAGTTTGTAGAAGTACTCTGAATAAATTGAGACAATGAAAAATGCAGAATAACCTTTTAAAAAGGGTTTAGAATTATTTTCAATAAAAAAAATCTTGCTCCAGAGTGAGCTTTAAAACTGTTCGGAATAACTGAATAGGATGAAAAAAAACAATGAAAAGTAGCTCTAAACTGTCCGTGCACTGAATCTTTTTGATCTGTTCAACTATCCGAACTACTTTTACTGTTTTAATACTGTTCCATTTGCACTAACTGAATTTGAACTACTCTAAGTATTCTAACTGCATTAATTTTATTTGAATTCCTTCTACTATTCAAGTTACTCTATGCGTAAGCTTTGTTACTCATATTGATAATTCCATAACACTAACAATGACAATCGCTCTCATGTAAGAACTCTGTTTTCCGGGTTCAAGAGTAGACATCCTGGAGCTAGATAATAGGTTTTTTTTGTGGATCAGATTCTGATCCAGTTTTGAGCGGATTCAGAATATTCGATCCCATTCCAGAACAGAATTTTGAAACAAATTCCGAAATCTGTCTAGTTCTTAGGATTGATTGGATCAGTTCAGAACCGAATCGAGTCAAATCGCTAACAAAGACCTGTAACTGAAATTTTAGTGATCTCGGAACAGAATCAGTTCTGAATCTACCTAGAACTAAACTAATAGTTCTATTTGCGAATCAGATTTAAACGAACTTAGAACATTGGAATATCGAACGGAATTTTGGAGCAAACTCCGGATTTCATAAATTATGGGTTTTAATCAGAACCGAATCGCGAACAATGAACTACTGTAATTGAAATTTAATGATCCGAAAACAACATGCGAGAATAATTTAAATTGAATTGGTGCAAATGGAACAGAATTTAAATAGTCAAAGTAGTTCGGACAGTTGAACTGATTAAAAAGAGTCAGTGTATGTGGAACAGTCAAAGTAAAACAGAACAGAACAGAGTTATTGCAAATGAAACAAAAAGTAAAGCAATTGGAACACTTAGAGTTATTGCAGATGGAATGTTAGAGTAATTAAAATCGAGTTAGTGAAAATGGAACAGAATTAGAACATTCAAATTAGCTGGAACAGTTGAACAGATTAAAAAGAGTCAGTACACTTAGAACAGTCAGAATAGAATTATCAAAAACACAAAATTAATCTTCAAATCAGCCTAAAGCGTTTTTTCGCGGGGCGAATAATTCAAACTACAATTTGTAGATGACGTCATCACTGATGACAAATCAAGAGTCCGATTCAAACTTTTTTAAATCAGGTTCAATGTGACATCACTGGTTTAACGCAAGAATGTACAGGTTCGAACCGAATTGAACCAGTTCCACCGCGAGAAAACAGCTGGCTATGTTCTGATATTAACTGCAAGTACTAGATTTACTGTGCTGATTTTACTGTCATTTGCCCTTCCGATTTTAACAGCGTACTTTTGTGGTCATTCAGTACTGAATCGACTGAATGTGTGATATCGGAACGGCGTTCAGTAAATTCAGTACTGACAGTTGATATCGGAACATAGGCTTGGAGTGCGTTCGAAATCGCTTTAAGCGTGACACCGTTTGCACACCAGCCATGAATTTTTCATCATTTGCGTCATATTTCCGTCATTTGCGTCATATTTTCATGTACGCAAAGTTTCATTAATTTCAATTTCCAAATAAAGCCCCCCAGTTCCACTTTCCGAAATAATTTGACTGTTTTAATTTTGTTCCATTCACACTACACTAGCTCGATTTAAATTACTCCAAGCAATCCATGCATACTCTAAGTGTTCCAATTGCTTCAATTTTTGTTTCATCTCCACTAATTTTTAACTCTGTTCTGCTGTTTACGTTGCTCTGATTGTTACTATTCGAACTACTCTATTATGCTACGTATCAATAGGAAATTTTTCGCGAGGATAATCAAGCATAATCTGATTATGCTGGGTTATGTGATCTGTCAATTGTGTCTAACTGCCTCTTCATTAAATTCTGTGCCTGTGAGAGACGTCCTATCAGCAGCATATAGTGATGACGTCATCCGCAGACCTGGATGGAATGCTTGCGATTCAGGCTTTTAGTAGGTTAATTTTTTGGACAATTTCAAATGTAGATAAGGTGATTTTCAGTTTATTCTCACAAAAGAAATCCGGGAGTATCCTAGAATTTGATGGTGGGGGAGTATGACACAATTAATAATATTACATAATCAAGCATACTCAAGTATGCTTATTGGTTATCCTCGCGAAAAATTGCCTAATGAATTCATTTATTATAACAGTGGGCTGATTTTAAATTCTACTGATTAATTCTACTCTGACTGTTCCACGTGCACTGACTCTTTTTGATCTGTTCAACTGTCCGAACTAATTTCACTGTTGAATAGTTCCGAATCAAAACTAATAAAAAGGAATACATTCCGAACTATAATTTGCAAAGTTGGATTTTATTCTACTCCGAACTGAAAAAATACGAATTAATTCGGAACTAGTTGCACTGCAAACAAAAAATTGTGTAATGCACTAGCGAATCAGAACTGATAAACGTGTACACTTCGAACCAGTTTGGAACTGCATTGGGATTGTGCTAGAATGCATGCCTAAATAATTATGAACCAGTTCCAGCTCAGAATCGATTCTAGAACCGGGAACAAAGAACTAATTGAAAGCTTGGATCACAAATAGAATTCTATTTTGAGAAGCAAAGTTGCTGCCAACCTAAAGAAAAAAAAAATCGGTCGACAAAGCATCAACGTCACAAGCATTTTACGTCACGCCATCGTCTCGTCATTCATCTTTTTTGCTGAAGGTGAAAAGATTATTTTTATTTTTTCGGTTCCTGAAATCGGTTCAATTGGAGTAAAAATAATAGAGACTGTTTTCCCATTATCGAGTAAATTATGAGTGCTCCCGCTTTATTCGCGTGCTCACGTTGCTTCGCCCGTTTTCCTTTCGAAGAATTATCCGCAGGTCAGCAGCTTTGCAAAGTGAGTTGTTTCTCCCCTTTTTATGATTTCTTCTTTTTTTTGGCAGTTTTACAAGAAAATCTTGACGTATTTTGATTGTTTAGTGCGTACTTTTCAAGTCCCAGTTACTTACCAAATAGGTTTAGGTACAACGAAGCTATTGTTGTTTTTTTCTTCCTAGGATAAATAAGGCTTGGTTTATTCATCTTTAGATAAACTTGCTGGTAACTATCTTTATGATATAATTACGGTTCTATAATTCTATTGGTTGGCTGACAGTAGCTGAATAAACTAGCCTTTAGAATAACCAATTAGTTTATCTATTTGTGCCCAAATAGCTTGGAAATACAGTTTAGGTACTTGGTACTTATATTGAGTAAAAAAAAAAACTGATTTTAATAGGTTGTAGTACCAGTACAAAAAAGTAAGGCTTGGTTCACAATAAATAGAATTCTATTTTTAAGTGACCTCATAATAATTCTATCTTACATGACAGATGAATAATGAAAATACCGTTATTTGTCAAAGAAAAGATTGCTAGAGGTGAGGTCATTACTGGATTACTTTTATGATGTCATCTATGGTGCTTAAACATAATGCAAATCTCCATAAGGCACCCCAGATGACGTCATCAAGTTACTACTTATTTACTTTTGGAACCTTGAGGTAAGATGACCTCGCTAAAATAGAATTCTATTTATTGTGATTTGGGGCCCTATAGAAGAACAACCAATGACATCTTAACATAGATAAACACCGCATTTCATTCATTCATAAACTGATGTTTGTTGTGATGACAAGACCTTCTCATTGGCCAGGGAAAATGTTATGGTGGGGATGCATCAGAGGTGTAAACAAAACCTGCCTACCTCTTTGAACCTGTCATTTACTTTAACAAAATAATGAAAAAATGTGCAACTTATTTATGTATCTATCTGCCTCCACAAAACATACGTTGCCATGTTTTTTCTTTACAGAAATAACAATGTGGCAACACCTAATTGGAGGGGATATAAGTTGTATTCCTTTCAATAGTTTGAAACATTCGAGCTACTCGCTCCGGTGTTCAGGAGCCCCCAAATTGCAGGGAACAGATGCGTGGTGCAACAAACACTTTTCGAAAGGAATAGGGGCGTGAAGCCCCGGAGCTCCTCCTAGGTGTGAAAGGAATACAACTATTCTGGAGGTAGATCACTCTACTAGATGTCAATCTGTGTTAAAATGTCATTGACAGCAACAAATAGCTTCCTAGTAATAACATTCCGACGATTTGATTTTCATCGTCATCTTTCTTCTTTCCCTCCAAAAAATTCTAGGAATGTCGCGGTGCGTTTCCAGTCGTCAAATGCACGTACTGTCGTTCGGAATTTCAGCAAACGTCCAAAGGTAACACGAGCACGATTTGTAAAAAGTGCGAGCAAAACGTAAAGTCTTACGGCAAACCGACGGCGTGCGAGTACTGCAACATAATAGCGGCTTTTATTGGCAACAAGTGCCAAAGGTGCACCAATTCGGAAATCAAATACGGGCCGCCAGTTAATTGCGAACAGTGCAAACAAAAATGTGCTTTTGACAGGCAAGACGATGACAAAAAGGTAAAAAAATCGACTATATTGGCCACCAGCCTTCTGATCCTCAACTCATTAATTTATTCCAGGTTGACGGAAAACTCTTATGCTGGCTATGCACTTTATCATTTAAAAGAGCCCTGGCCAAAACCAAGCAAGGCGATGCTGAAAGGAGGGCGCACCTTAAAAGGACCGGGGTGCATAAAAAGCACAAAGAAAAGTATGTCATTGTGCAAAATCAAAAACCCTCATATTTATATAAACCATGTATTTCAGGATGCGCGGGCATAACAAGCGTCCCAATCGGCCTGACGTCACGAAAATGCCAGTTCCTGAGGATCAACCCCCTAATAAAATGGCCAGGAACAATTCAGGGCCTGGTATGATTCGGGCTGAATTGGACCCAAATAGTTCCGATCACGTTGTGGCCATGACGCAGCTCAGAGAAGAAATCGCCAGCTTGAAGAAGCAGAATGCGCAAAAGGACTCTCAGTTGCTTGTCAAAGATAAAATGGTAAGGAGCTGTCAGTAGTTAGTGATGTTGGCAAACTGTCAAAAATGGCGCTTGGTTGGCAAACAATAAACAAACAACATATGGGTTTTTTTTGGCGGGATTATTAATACACAGGGCAAGTTCTCAAATCTGACACTTTTCTGACATTGTCGAGATGTAACAACCCCTAGTATAACCTCATAAAAAATTCAAAATGCCTGGCTGGTTGGCAATGTCACGTGGTCCAGATTCCTTTGGCAAACTGTCAAAAAAAATTCCGTTTCACTATAGGTTGGCAACACTGTAAAAAGAGCACTTTGGTCTGAGGTGAAGGGGAAGAAAAAAAAATCAAATTTTTTCAGTAAAAAATAACCCCATTGGAAATTAATGAAAATCAACTAAATTAGGCACAAATGCACCATCTAACATTTTATTTTTTTTCTGGAAAACTATCCAAAGAAAAATTATGAAATTTTCTGGACAAAACGAAAAAAGTCAGGGGCGTATCATACTAAAATTTCAAATTTTTCCAGTGGAAAATAACCTCATTGGAAATTAATGAAAGTCAACTAAATTAGGCATAAATGCACCATCTAACATTTTATTTTTTTTCTGGAAAACTATTCAAGGAAAAATTATGACATTTTCTGAAAAAAAAAGAAAAAAGTCAGGGGCGTATCATAGAAAATTTTCAAATTTTCCCAGTGGAAAATAACCTCATTGAAAATTAATGAATATCAACTAAATTAGGCATAAATGCACCATCTAACATTTTATTTTTTTTCTGGAAAACTATTCAAGGAAAAATTATGACATTTTCTGGGAAAAAAGAAGAAAATCAGGGGCGTATCATAGTAAAGTTTCAAATTTTTTCAGTGGAAAATAACCTCATTGAAAATTAAGGAAAATCAACTAAATTAGACATAAATGCACCATCGAACATTTTATTTTTCTTCTGGAAAACTATCCAGGGGAAAATTATGACATTTTCTGGAAAAAAAGAGGAAAGTCAGGGACATATCATAGAAAAATCTCAAATTTTTCCAGTGAAAAATAACCCGATTGGAAATTAATGAAAATCAACTAAATTAGACATAAATGCACCATCTAACATTTTATTTTTTTTTTGGAAAATTATTCCAGGGAAAATTATGACATTTTCTGGAAAAAAAGAAGAAAATTAGGGGCGTATCATAGTAAAGTTTCAAATTTTTCCAGTGGAAAATAACCTCATTGAAAATTAATGAATATCAACTAAATAAGGCATAAATGCACCATCTAACATTTTATTTTTTTTCTGGAAAACTATTCAAGGAAAAATTATGACATTTTCTGAAAAAAAAGAAAAAAGTCAGGGGCGTATCATAGAAAAATTTCAAATTTTCCCAGTGGAAAATAACCTCATTGAAAATTAATGAATATCAACTAAATAAGGCATAAATGCACCATCTAACATTTTATTTTTTTTCTGGAAAACTATTCAAGGAAAAATTATGACATTTTCTGAAAAAAAAGAAAAAAGTCAGGAGCGTATCATAGAAAAATTTCAAATTTTCCTAGTGGAAAATAACCTCATTGAAAATTAATGAATATCAACTAAATAAGGCATAAATGCACCATCTAACATTTTATTTTTTTTCTGGAAAACTATTCAAGGAAAAATTATGACATTTTCTGAAAAAAAAAGAAAAAAGTCAGGGGCGTATCATAGAAAAATTTCAAATTTTCCCAGTGGAAAATAACCTCATTGAAAATTAATGAATATCAACTAAATTAGGCATAAATGCATCATCTAACATTTTATTTTTTTTCTGGAAAACTATTCAAGGAAAATTATGACATTTTCTGAAAAAAAAGAAAAAAGTCAGGAGCGTATCATAGAAAAATTTCAAATTTTCCTAGTGGAAAATAACCTCATTGAAAATTAATGAATATCAACTAAATAAGGCATAAATGCACCATCTAACATTTTATTTTTTTTCTGGAAAACTATTCAAGGAAAAATTATGACATTTTCTGAAAAAAAAGAAAAAAGTCAGGAGCGTATCATAGAAAAATTTCAAATTTTCCTAGTGGAAAATAACCTCATTGAAAATTAATGAATATCAACTAAATAAGGCATAAATGCACCATCTAACATTTTATTTTTTTTCTGGAAAACTATTCAAGGAAAAATTATGACATTTTCTGAAAAAAAAAGAAAAAAGTCAGGGGCGTATCATAGAAAAATTTCAAATTTTCCCAGTGGAAAATAACCTCATTGAAAATTAATGAATATCAACTAAATTAGGCATAAATGCATCATCTAACATTTTATTTTTTTTCTGGAAAACTATTCAAGGAAAATTATGACATTTTCTGAAAAAAAAGAAAAAAGTCAGGAGCGTATCATAGAAAAATTTCAAATTTTCCTAGTGGAAAATAACCTCATTGAAAATTAATGAATATCAACTAAATAAGGCATAAATGCACCATCTAACATTTTATTTTTTTTCTGGAAAACTATTCAAGGAAAAATTATAACATTATCTGAAAAAAAAGAAAAAAGTCAGGAGCGTATCATAGAAAAATTTCAAATTTTCCTAGTGGAAAATAACCTCATTGAAAATTAATAAATATCAACTAAATAAGGCATAAATGCACCATCTAACATTTTATTTTTTTTCTGGAAAACTATTCAAGGAAAAATTATGACACTTTCTGAAAAAAAAGAAAAAAGTCAGGTTCGTATCATAGAAAAATTTCAAATTTTTTCAGGGGAAAATAAACGTATTGGAAATTAATGAACATCAACTAAATTACGCATAAATGCACCATCTAACATTTTTTTTTCTTTTCTGGAAAATTATTCAAGGGAAAATTATGACATTTTCTGGAAGAAAAGAAGAAAATCAGGGGCGTATCATACTAAAATTTCAAATTTTTCCAGTGAAAAATAACCCCATTTGAAATTAATAAAAATCAATTAAATTAGACATAAATGCACCATCTAACATTTTATTTTTTTCCAGGAAAAAAATTTGAAATTTTCTAGAAAAAAAGAGGAAAGCCAGGGGCGTATCATAGAAAAATTTCAAATTTTTCCAGTGGAAAATAACCTCATTGAAAATTAATGAAAATCAACTAAATTAGACATAAATGCACTATCTAACATTTATTTTTTTTCTAGAAAACTATCCAGGGGAAAATTATGAAATTTTCTCGAAAAAACAAGAAAAGTCAGGGGCGTATCATACTGAAATTTCAAATTTTTCCAGTGAAAAAAAACTCCATTGGAAATTAATGAAAATCAATTAAATTAGACATAAATGTACCATTTAACATTTTATTTTTTTCCTGGAAAATTGTCCAGGAGAAAATTATGACATTTTCTGGAAAAAAAGAGGAAAGTCAGGGGCGTATCATAGTAAAATTTCAAAACTACCCGCTACGCCACTTGACAGTTTTAACACCTTGACTATATTTCTGTGGGTGAATTTTCATTATATTTTAATCTCAATTTTGAGCTTGCTTTCAGGTCCCCTTTGGTACATGACTTTTGTCTAATGTCAAAAAAAAAAAAAAAATGTGTGTCAGGAACACTGTCATGGTCATTTGGTGTCGCTTGTTTTTGAGCGACAGGGTGGTGGGGTAGTGTAGCTGGCGACATGGTTCTTGGAACAAGGCTTAAAATCAAGAAAGTTTTGACAGCTGTCTAAATTGAATGTGACATTTTGATGTTCATGAAGTTGGCGTGGGTTCCGTGCGTCAGGAGCACTGTCATGTGTTTTTGAGCGACAGGGTGATGGGGCAGTGTAGCTAACAACATAGTTGTTAGAACGAGGCTTAAAATCAAGGATGTTTTGACAGTTGTTTAAATTGAATTTGACATTTTGATGTTCATGAAGTTAGGGTGGGTTCCGTTTCCAAATCTGGTTAATCGATCGGTACAACGTCAGTTGACAGTGGTTGCTGAAAATTTCAGTTTTATACGGAACGCTTTTCCAATCGAAGACTTTGACACTGATAGTTGAATAATGTAGAAACGAAAGAGATAGAATGACAGTTACCGAAAAACTTATCAACGATTGCCTCGGTGACATTTTTGACATAACCATTTTTAAGAATCGCGTTCCGTATAGACCGGGTTTTCAGGCACCAGACATTACGGAACATGTAACCCTAACCAAGATTGAAAACGGAATGCACCCATAGTAAGACAGTAGTTGACATCTGTCAAATGTTATTTATTATAGCATTTTGTTTTAATGTTCATTGGATGTCAAAAAAACATCATTATTCTTATATTAATCAATTTTTGACAGCTGTCCGAGTGAGTTGAAACCTGTCAAATGCTATTATTCAATCAACTTTAGATGTTCTAATATATTCGTTAGGCATTTTTTTTTCTGAAAAATCATTAATGAGTTTATAAATTTGATAAATTTTGACAGCTATTTAAGTTGAATTCTAAATGTTGACACCTGTCAGATGTTAATTATGAGACAGTTGAATCAAGACAATTGTCTGAATTAAATTTGATTAACATTTAACTTGTAAAACATTTGACACCTGTCAGGTATACATAAATTTTTGACAGCTGTTGAAGTAGACTTGAAAAATAAAAATCCTAATTCAAAATTCATTTCATTAACAACAATTTTTCAATATTTTAAGACAATTCTATTACATGAACATTAAGTTTCTTTTCATAATTTCCTATTCCATTCAATAGTTTATTTAATCAGAACAAATTCTATTTTCGGATTCCTATGCTTAGCTAATAAATTCAACTGTTTAATTCATAATTCCAACTCAAAATTGTATATTGTTGAATGCATTATAAGTTCCCTTTATATTTTCTTGGCACAATTAAATTAGAATGTCATTATATCTGAAGGCAATTAAAGTTATGCAATAATGTTCTATTGGTATTTCAGTTTATAGTCATTTATCTTTTATAAAGTCAAAAGTTTTTCTAGTAAAAATCACTCAAGTTTTTAGGCATTGAAAGTCATTTGCTTATTCACTTCTTATCATTCAGAATCATTGATATATTTGTTGTGTAAGTAAAGTAAACGTTGTACGAAAGTAAAGTACTTACATTTAATTTTGCACACGTAAAATTACCTAATTAATTACTCAAAATTTTTAGCTAGCACACACATAAGTGTTGACGAATTTAATTGTTCTTTCTTTCAAAATTTTTCCGCTACTTTTTCAAAGACTGTTACCGAGGCAATACAAGAAACTTTCCGGACTGACACACAGAACTGCGAACTCATCTCACAACTGACAACTAACAACTGAAACCGCGGTATTTATATTAAATCGATCCCCCCAATTTTCTCTGTCCATGACAATTAAGATGTTGCAATTTCCTTGAGATTTTTATCATTTTTAGTCTAAAAAATCGAATAATTATGTCGCAGTATCCTGATTTATCGAGGTCAAAACATTATTGGTTCAAGAATGCCATAAATCATTCGATTTAATTAGGTACGCGATGGCCTCGCTAAAAAAAGTTCATTGATCGGATGTTGGATGACATCACGCTGGGTGTCGAGATACGTTAGCGTTAATTTGTTCCATTTTAATTTATCGATACTGATTTAGAAATACCGGAAATTAAGTTTTTGATTATTTGATAATTATTTAATTTTTACAGTGAAGACATTGTGATTTATGGGTTTATTTTCTCGGATCATTACAAATAAGACTGTAGCTAACTATAATTTGGCCTTCTGAGTGATGAGGTTAATACTCATAGGGAGTTACTAGTCAATAACTTAAGACAAATGAAGCAACGCATTCTACATCATTTAAGACCAATTGGTTGACATATGACGTTTATTTTATTGTTTATCTGTCAAGTGTAACCAGCTGGTCAAACGCTTGAAATACGCTATATTATGGCGATTGTACTTTTTTGACAGTTGACAAATAATTAATACTTTAAACGTCTACTGTCAAATAATTTGACATCTGAGTTTTAAATATTTACCAATTCTGTTTCAGATAACCGAACTGAAAGCGAAACATTTTACTGCCGAAAACGAGTCGCGCAATCGCTTCAAAACACTGCAGAAAGAGAACGATTTCAAGACTCAGACGATGAACAACCGAATAAACGGCCTTCTAAAGCAAGTCGCCAGCCTTTCGAAACAGGTCAAGAAGAATCCAAGGGAATCGGGAAGTTTCGGCAACACCAGCGCGGCTTCGCCCGCCGCTCAGAGTCCGGCTACCGCTTCGCCGGCCGCCGGGTCGCCGATGCCGGCGCCGGTTGTCAATTCTGACAAATCTGATACCAACAACAGTAGCGGTTCGGATAGTCCGACTCAATAGTTTAATTGTATTTGAATGGTAAGGAATTATTGGATTTTGTAACTTTTGTGGTCAATTTGTGACAGTTTGGATTTTCCGTAAACAATTTTTATTGTCAAATATTACATTTGCATTCAGCATCGTTCAAAGTCAAATAAATGCCTTGTCTTGATTGGTTGTTTTATGCAAACTAAACCAATTACAGTAAGACATCTATTTGAGTTTTCACAGAATGGTGTCAAATATGTCATGATAAATTTTAGGACTAATCAATGCACCAGCAACATTTCTTTTTTCTGAAACTTTGTAATACAATAAATAAATTGAACAGTCATAGATAAACCATAGGAGTTATATTTTTGATCCAAATTGGTTTATTTTTATATTGTGAAAGTGTCCAAATTGATTTAATTGTTTATATTTATATAAATTATAGTCCTTGTGAATTTAGTACAGCGTCAATGAGGGTTAACAGTTTGCCATCAGAGTGCAAATGTCAATTGTCAAAAATTTAAAATTTCTTGTCACAATTATTGACACTTTTGATAGATGTCGCAAACAACAAGTAAAATGTTAGCTCTCATTTTGCTTGGAAAAAGAACAGTGACCAAAAAATTTAGAAAATTAGTATTTCTGCTTAAATTTTAGGTGAAATTATTTGGGATTCAGAGAAAAATCCAATTACATTATACAGGGTGTCCCACGACGTTTTTTCCAATATAAATGAAATTTTGAGAACCTGCGTAACTTTTTGTTCCGCTTCTACCATTGTCATCCAATTTCACTACTTTCTCTTCAATTTCGTTCAAGTGACGTCAACTTTCGAATCTTAAATGTAGCTCATGGTATATTATGGCATTTTTCGTTAGAAAATTAAATTTCAAAATCGGCAATGTCATATTTAATAAGGCTTTGTTAAAGAAAATTGTAAAAAATGATACAGTTGAACATAATATGATGATGCGTTCCAAAGTTATCATTTGGGAGAAACTTCGTGAGACACCCTGTATTTTCTCAATAAATAAATCAGTGACTAAGCTGGTCCATTTTTTCTGTAATGTCATTGGAATTTTGCCTCTGACGATGTCTACATTTTCTTTTGTGGATGTGGAATTTATAGTCGCTCCTCGAAGTTTTCTCAGACCTCAAGGAAGCTTTGACGTTTAGAATTGACACCGATTAATTTGTCAAATAGTAGAAAGTGTCCGCATTCTAAACTCATAGGAGCGACTATAAATTCGGGTCTCATTAAATTATTGTTTTCTCAAGGGAAAGGAGTGAAATTTAATTTAAAAAAAAATAATCATGCCTTTTTCAGTGTTTAGTTTCATTTTGACAACTTTATACAGTATACAAGGCATCTTTTTTTTTGACAGTCATTGTTCATCTGTCAAAAAAAAAAGGTGCAATTAATTAGAAGTTGCCATTGTTTATTTATGAAGAGTGTAATTTTGTAAGGTGTTTTCAATTGGTAAAATGAATTTTTCTTTTTTTTCCGCCAATTGAAAGCGCTATTGAAACGATTTTAATATTAGAATTTTAAAAAATTGTGTTTGATTATTATTTGTTGTAGTAATGTTTGTGTCATGAGGGTTTTTAATTTTGCATCATTTGCCAAGGCAAATATATCAAAAGTACAAACCCTCGTGAAACAAAAAGTATATAATTTTATTTTCTTATTACTGAAGGTGTTTTATTTGAAATAAATTATTTTTGTATAAGATAAATTAATTGTAAAAATAAAGAAAATAAAAAGACAATGAATTTGGTTTCATTTCTTAAGAAATTCCTGGAAGAAAATTCAATTGATCTGCATGTGGTTTTTTTTTCTATGCAAAGATCGTTAAAACTGATTAAAAGAAAAATTATTATAAATAATAATGATTATTAAAAAAAAAAAAAAAAAACAAAATAAAGCATTAAAAAAGTAGATACACTTTGTTTCACGAGGGTTCATACTTTGGACATAATTTGCCTTCCTTTTTAAACAAATAGAAATTGACCAAAACAAATCAAAAATGTTCGTCGATTCTTAAACCAGAAATTTTGTTAAAAAAATTAACAAATCTACGACAACCCTTTTTTTTTTCAAGTTATGATGTCTTCAATGTCAAAAGTACAAACGCTCGTGGAACAAACTTTACATAAATGCATAGGAGAATTACATATATAATTAATTAGGCATAAATGAATGTCAAATTTGGACACTTTTATGATTAATTCTTAGTTTCATTTATTTTATAATTTTGATTTACATTCAATGCAAGATTTTATTATTTTTTTTTTTTTGTTGCAGAATCTTCGTTCACCATCTACAAGCTGAAAAACTTCACACTGTTGCCAAATGACTGAAAATTATGTGATATTTTTTTTGTTTACTTTTTATTGTATTTGTTAGGCTTTTTTTTATAATAAAACATATCAGATTTTTGACAAACTGGTGAAATTATTTAGCAGTTATTTTCCTCGTTGAGCTGACAACAATGCGCTTGTTTAGTAGGTTTGTTTTTGCAGAAATCACAAACCATCAGTCAGAGCGAATTTCATTGGTTGAAAACAGTCAGAAAATTAGTTTTAACCAATGAAATTCACTCTGATTGATTTGTGATTTCTGTAGAAACAGAACTATTTATTTATTTATTTATTTATTTATACGGGTTGTCCCCATTTTAACAAAAATTTACAATAAGTAAAAATATTATAACCAAAACAAAAATAATATCTCTATTACGCAATATTATAAAAATGAATAAAGAGAAAAAGAAACAGAAATATATAGACTACTACTTAAGGAATTTTACCTTATATTTCTAATATATTTACTAACATTGTTAACACATAAAAGCTTCAATAGCTCATTTTTACCCGAGAGGTTATGTAATAGAAAATAATTACGAAACACCGGGTTGTTCTTAATAAAAGTGGACTGTATTAACTTTTCAAAACATTACGATGACAATCGGCAATAAACAAAGTTACATTTTTTATTTATTGTCTGGATTTTGTGCAATAGCAATTTCTTGCTAATTAATTTAAATTTAGACGCGACTTCGCGACGCCGCTTCTTCAATACGGCGGGTAGCACAGTACCTATTTATGCGATAGCCAACTCACGACTACCCTAGGAATTTATACAGAAATGGCGCTTCCCTTAAAATATCTAGGTGTGGACGAGTCCATTATTGGAATTTGGGGGGAAGAAGCATATTAAAAACTTGTTCCTTCTTGTGGGTTTTTTTATGTTTTGGGAGAATTGATATTGCACCAATACTTGTAACCAATACAATAAGGATAGATTGCACCATAATATAAATAATAATATCAAAATCAGGAATAATTATTAGAAAATCCAACATACTCCCGCCTTGGGCATTTTCTGATGAAAAGTCCAATAAAAAATCAAATGAACGCACTGAGAAAAGCACTATTCACACCTTTTACTAAAACACTTATTATAAACTATCAACAAGTAACTCCTTAACCTAAGCTATAAAATATAATAATATTATCAGTAATCAATAATTACATTAAGAATCGTCACAATCGGTTATAGGTTTATCATCAGGTAAAGGACATAATTTTGTAATGGACCTATAGAAAATTCCATCTTGGGTTTTAATTTTAACTAACCTCACTTTGCCGTCTGGGCTGTGAGGTATCTCACTGATACGTGCCAAAGACCATTTGAGAGGTGGTAAATTGTACTCTTTGACCAATACCACCTGATTGATTTTCAAATTCTGTGAAGGGTTGCACCACTTGGGTCGATGCTGCAGCCTATTTAAGTACTCCACAGACCACCTTTTCCAAAACTGTTGCTTGATTTTCACACATTTCTCATACATAGATAAACGATTATTGGAAACTTCAAGTACATTTTTATCTGGATATGCAGCCAAGCTATCGCCAATCAAGAAATGACCTGGCGTTAATGGATTCAAATCAGACGAATCATTAGACAAAACACTCAAGGGTCTTGAATTTAAGATGCTCTCGATAGAAGTGAGTACAGTGCTAAACTCTTCAAAGTTTAATACTGTGTCACCAATAGTTCGTTTGATATGGTACTTGGCACTCTTAATCGCAGCTTCCCATATGCCCCCCCAATGAGGTGACCGTGGAGGTATAAATTTCTACTGGGTTTCATTTTGCGCGAGGAAATTTTCAATGGAATGAACATTTTCCTTACTCTTAAAAAATTCATGAAGTTCCTTCAACTGGTTACTGGAGCCTAAAAAGTTTGTGGCATTGTCAGAGTAAATCACAGATGGATTACCTCGCCTACCTATAAATCTCTTAAGAGCAAGCAAAAAATGCTCGGTTGACAATCCTGTCACAAGTTCAATGTGCACGCATTTTGTTGCCATGCAAACAAAGATGGCAATGTATGCCTTGATTTTTGGAGCTCTGCGTAAATTAGAAGTTTTAAGTAAATAAAACCCACCAAAATCAACACCCACTCTTTGGAAAGGCCTCGAGATCGAAACTCTGTCCCTAGGTAAGTTACCCATCATTTGCTCAGCGCACTTTGCAGTAAAGCGAAAACATGTTATACAATTATGAATAATTCGTTTGACTGACCTAAGCCCGTCAATAGGCCAGTATCTTAATCTAAAATTGGTTAATACTGTTTGTGCACCTGCATGGTATAGTCTCAAATGTTCTTTTCGCAACATTATATTGACAACATGACATTTTGACGGCAACAGTAATGGATGTTTTTGGGAGAATGGAATATTAGCATTTGATAATCTCCCGCCAACACGCATTAGGCCCTTTTTGTCCAAAAAAAGATTTAAGCAACGTAGCTTTTTATTTTTAATTATTTTATCATTTTTCAGACATTCAATTTCTTCAGAAAAATATTTTAGTTGAAGAAATTTTATTATGAACCACAATGATTCTTGTAATTCATCAACACTAAGCGAACCAAAATTTCTTTCACCTATTGGACATCTCAAGTTATGACGAAACCTTAAACAGAATGCAATAACACGTTGCAACCTATAAAAATCTGAATATTTTTCTAAAATTTTATGCAATTGACTTTCACAATGTGCCTTGGACACTGCACTTAAAACCGTTTTTCTCTGCTCTGGAAGATTTTCAAGAACGAGATTAGTTTTAAAGGAATCAAGATTAAAATTTGGATTACTTAAATGATGAGGACCATTCCACCATTGTTTGTTAAACAGTAACTCTTGGGCTGAAAGGCCCCTGGACACATAATCACTTGGATTATCCTTCGTAGGTATATACCTCCAGACACAGTTAGAACTATTTTCTTGTATGATGGAAACACGATTTGCAACGAAAATGTTCCATCTTCCTGGATGTGACTGCAACCATGCCAGTGAAACTTTCGAATCTGTCCACAGGTTAACAGAGTCAATTCTGAAAGAGTCTTTAAAAATATTTACAATTCTTTTTGTAGTTTGGGCTAACAGCAAACAACCACAGAGTTCTAGCCGAGGAACACTGATTGTGCGCAACGGCGCAACCTTAGACTTGGAACAAATTAAATTAGTTGACACACTGTCATTATTATAAATTACTCTCAAATAAAGAGCACAACCATACGCCTTTATACTGGCATCAGAATACCCATGTATTTCTATTCGCTTCACATCATCCAAATTATCTATCAAACACCGTGAAATTTGTAGCTCTGACAAATCTAAAATATTTTTTGCAAATTTCAACCATTCATATTTCAACTCTTCGCTGAGACAATCATCCCAACCCAACTTTGACAGCCATAATTTCTGCATGAAAATTTTTGCATTCACTACAATCGGAGACACTAGTCCCAAAACATCGTAAATTTGCGCAATGACAGCCAAAACATTTCTCTTAGTGAGAGGAGTGATATCAATATTTTTAGGTAAAGACACAGAAAAACAATCCAACTTTGGATTCCAATAAATACCTAAAACTTTATTAGACATGCCCTCAGAAATTCAAAAATAGTTTTGTAACTCAGAATCAGAACTAAACTTTTGCATAAACTGCTGAGAATTGGAACACCACTTATGAAGTGAAAACTTTCCCAAATTCAATAATTCAACTAATTGGTTTCGTAATTCATATAATTCATTCAAGGAATTCACGCTATACAGTGCATCATCAACATACATTTGACTTGTTAAAACATTCGCTGCAGTAGGAAATTTATGCTTATACATATTTGCCAATTCAGTGAGGCAACGAGTGGCAACGTATGGTGCGAAATTGGTTCCATAACTAACCGTCAAAAGTTCTATGCAAGAAAGTTCTTCACCAGGGCTTTTTCGCCATAAGATGTTCTGCAAAAAAGTATGGTCTGGATTAATCATAATTTGCCTGTACATCTTCTGGATGTCAGTAACAACTGCAAACCGGAACATACGGAACCTACACAGTATGTCAAAAAGCTCAGGCTGTACGACCATGCCTTTAAGACAGATATCATTCAATGAATATCCCGAGGTTGATTTCATTGATGCATCAAAAACTACCCTAAGACGAGTACTAGTTTTGTCATTTCGAATTATGCAATGATGCGGAATAAAATATTTATGTTCATTGTTTTTATTTTTAAGGTCCAGAGGAACATACCTTGCGTGACCCAACTTTATGTATTCGTCCATGAACTCAGAATATTGACTAAATAAATCAGGATTTTGAATCAACCTTTTTTCAAGGGAATTAAAACGTTTTTTGGCCGATAAAAATGATTCTCCAAGCTTCATATTTTCATTTGAAGATTTCAAAGGGATATCGACTTGAAATCTACCATTTTCAAGTAACTTGGTAGTATCTACAAAGATTTTTTCTGAAATTTCATCATCAGTAGACAATATATTATCCTTAGGAACCTCCTCAAGAGTCCAGAATTTTTGTAATAGATTATCAACTTGAACTGAACTGATAAATAATGACAACGGCTTAAACGGATCACAATTTGCAATGAAATTCGAAATTAACGAAGAAGGCAAATTTCCACCTATAACCCAACCTAGGTGTGTGTTTTGGAGGACTGGAAGTTCATTACCAAGGTTAATTAAACCAGGAATCAAAAATGAAAAATACACCTCTGCTCCAAGAAGTAAATCAATATGTTGTGGATTGTAATATTTTGAATCTGCAAGGACAATATTGTTAGGAATTTCTAACTTGCTGGCTTCAATTAGAAATTGCGGCAACCTGCAACTACTGAAATCGGTAATTGAGCATGTAGCTTTAAACCTTTTATTTTTGTCAACAGTTGACTTAAATTCAATATCAATTGCTTCAGTGCATTGTACTGCGCCAGAAACACCATTAATTTCAACATTTTTTCTATACGTTGGATACCTTAGTTGTTTTGCCAATTTCCGTGTCATAATAGATACTTGAGATCCATTGTCTAGGACTGCTCTAGCCGACAAAAAAGTTCCATCATTATTAATTACCTGTACGAAGGCAGTGGCTAATAAAACATGA